AAAGAGTTTGTTGATTCCAGAAGTGTTCAAGGGAATTGGCCCCTTATAAGCAACCAGCGAGAAAAACTGACTATGATAGACATGAGTCTCTTTATCCTACGCTTGAAGAGACAAAGTATGGTTAGAGAGCAGGAGAACAACCTTCTGTGCCCTCCTGCCAGGAGGGAGGCTGGCTGACAACCCATGAGTTAACAGCCCCGAGTGAGTGGATCTTACTAGAGGTGTCTACATCCTTATTCGACTTTGGGCCTTATCACCAAAGGTACACAAAAAGACACATAAAAAGTATCTATTGTACTTGCTACTCCTCTAAACATCTGACATTCCCAAACATACTCACAACTAATAAAGACAGTTTCACCTACACACCAATAACCATGAAGCAAAGATTAAACAAGCCCAAGTCTTCTTGAGCAGAGCAGAAGGCAAACGAACCGTTTTGACCAGTTTCCATTTATCTGCTTCTGTGGTTATTTGAATTCATAATCAATCAGTGGAAGACTTCTCATTAAGCACCTTTCTTTAGCTCTAGTTTCATTGAACTGTCTTCAAAGTTGTTTGCATGTTGGTTCTACATTTTTGCAGATGAAGCTTCAAGAACTGATCGACTGACTTAGCAGAGGTACTACGTCCCAAACAGAGCAGATCTTAGTTAAACCAGACTCCAGCCAGTCCCATCCAGCAACCGTGTCCAAACGATCTGAACAAACGCTGGCTTTGGGGACTCTTTCCAGTTCTCATCGGGAAGCTCCTGGCACACACACACAGCAGAAACCACACGTGAAAGCAGCTTGTGACTACGCTATGTTCTTATTCAGATGGCAAGCAATGCGTTACGCCGCTTTGACCAGTCCCTCCGCCGATGCCAAGGCTGCGATGGCAATAGCAGACCATTAGCATATCACATTTCCAACCTACAGGGCACCGAACACCACCACAGATTACTAAGCATGGGCACTGTTCGCTTTCTGTGGAATTCAATGAGTGCCCACACGGAGCTAAGACTAACCTGAACAAAACGGCTCTCTGCCACCCAGCACCACCGCACAATTAGCCCAGCACAATAACGGCTAAAACAGATTAAACAGTACGTGCCGTGGCCCGGTTTTAAAGTGCTACAAAATACCAAGCTTCTACGCCACAGTCTAATATCTTCGGTTTTGTTGCAATTCGTCTGGTGTGGGAAAGGAAGAGAGTATGTATAGTTAGGGGTACCTAAGACAGGCTTTCAATCCTTTAAGCGCCCAGGAGCGACCAAGGCCAAACGGGATTTTTTGGTTTCGTCAGTGCTACACGAAATTCAATTGTGCAATGCCAAGCGCATACACAGTATACTTTATGAAAAGCCTTCTCAACATGCTAAGCCACTTTATAAAATCTAAGGAAAGGAAGAGAGTATGTATAGTTAGGGGTACCTAAGACAGGCTTTCAATCCTTTAAGCGCCCAGGAGCGACCAAGGCCAAACGGGATTTTTTGGTTTCGTCAGTGCTACACGAAATTCAATTGTGCAATGCCAAGCGCATACACAGTATACTTTATGAAAAGCCTTCTCAACATGCTAAGCCACTTTATAAAATCTAATTAGAGCTTTCTTCATTTAACTTGCAAATGCTGAAAGCAATTATCCCACTTAAGGACTAACTTACAAAACGTTTTCAAAAAGCAACACAACAGCACTGAGAGACAACACTGCCTCCTTAGAATAATTGATTTGTTCCTATACAGGAGAGAAAGGAATGGGACTCAACTCCTTAGGGCAGGGCCTGCTCAAATAACTATTTATGCCAGAATCAGCATGCATCATCTTAGCAACAGCATCCTGGCATGCTCCGCTAAGGCACAAACATGATAGCTTTCGATTTTTTTTGTCTTGTTTTTAAATAAATGTCCTACGGACCCACTTTGATGCGAACAGGATTGCAGGAAGCCGGTTCCACTTCCCATCCCACCCCCAAAACAAAAACTGGGGGGCCTTGGCTTCGTTTGGTTATCATAACCTTTTGCAAATAAAGGGTTTTCAGT